GTCGTCTCCCAAGTTCTCATTCATTCAGAATTTGCTGATAGAATTTATTCACCCAATGCATATTAATTGAGGCCCATCACCTGCCAAGAATTTTGCAAGGAGCTGGAGGTATCTTGATGATCATGGTTGGGGCACTCAAGGAACTTAGCTCTGGGAGGGAGGCCAACATTGGCTAAAGGGATGTGTAATTTCAAACTAAGCCAAGAAGTGGTTCTCTAAGAGTATAAAACCTCTCTTAGCCTGCAGTGTCTGCAAAGACTACCCTGAGTAGTGACACAACAACTGAGTGGAAAGCTCAGGTGTAAGCTTAGAACCACATTTCCCAGGTTCCTTTTAGAAGGGGTCTGGTTAGATCCTGCCTGCGGGAGGCACATGGGTAAAACCTGGAGCTTTCTCTCAGGACTTCGAAACCTGACCATCAGCCTGATGTCAGGGCAGAGAGGAGGGTAGGAGGGCAGTCATCGGCAGAGAAGACACCTGACCAGACGCTCCTGGTTATGAGGCCATGGCATTTATCTGCCTTCTCTTGATATCTAGAGCTGTCCTGGTTCTCGGTCATCCCTAATCTGGTTCTACTGGCCAGACACTGGGTCTCTGGATTTCTTGCAATAAATTTCCTTTTGATTAAGGTAGCCAGAAGTAGCTTCTGCTGTTTATATCCATCAGGCTGTTTGCTCTAGTCACATGCCACACTGCTTTCCGCTGCACTTACATGTATGATTATGCATGTCTGCCAACCAGACTGCCAGCTTTGTGAGGGCCGGACGATGTCTTATTTCTCTTTCAAGCTCTAGGACCTACAGTGGTGGCTGACTGACACATAGGAAACATTCAGCAAATGCAAAATGAATCTGATTTTGCACATGTTCAAAAAAGTATGAGGTTTACCAATTATAAATACAAAAGTTCCACTGGATATTTAAACACTGAGAAAAAGCTCAAAAAGTCAAATTGAGTCAAAAAGTCCTTCATGCCTTATGCCAATTGTACACTGATGTAGAAATCTCTATGTTCTATAGTCATCTTCTCAGATATTACTTTTTTATATAAACTTCATAAAAAAAACAATGTGCTAATAACCATACTCCTGTCGCACCCTTACTTCTGAGCTTATCATTATTCAGAATTTTCACCACCACACTTCGAAATGGGTAGAAAAAAGCAGCCGAAGCGGGCAGGTCCATGATACCATTCCCAGGAGCCATCTACACTCACCACTCCCTGTCCTTTTCAACCCACAGGGCCATCCATGAAGCCCAAGAGGCAGTCAGTGAACTTGGATTCCAGGGAAATCGCCATCTGTTTTTCTACCCCTAATAAATAAAGTGCCTCTGCTCTATAAATTCACATTACTTGTGGAACTGAGACCCAGAATGAAAACGGAGATAGAATTTTTGTCCAATTTAATAGATTTTTAGGCAATATCTTGGGTAGCAAGTTTATGCTGCAAGAATCTATGGGCTACATAACAATCTGAATTTTATCTGGTTCAAATAATACTACCATGTCCTAAAATCCTGGGCATTATATACTTTCCAAATGTACAGTGTTGTCAAGGTTTTATGACATTTCCTACAAAAACTCAATAGTCAGGTAGCACTTCATCAATTGCAGTTTACGTTCGGGTATGAGAACAGATTGCTAAGGCTGCAGCATGAAAACTATGCCCCTCCTCTGACTTCCGTATCATAGCCACACAGGGATATTCCACTAAACAATTTTCATACGTGCACATTTTTGTCCCCTACAAAAAGAACTCCACGTCTTGGAATTATGAGATCGAGCCAAAAATATGATGGTAGATCCAAAAATCCATTCTTGATGACTTCTGTTTTCCTACAAAAGCGTGATCGGTGATATTCTGCCACCTGGGATTCTCTGTTTATTCAACTTCACTTCCTTCCTCAAGTCAGAAAATGCTTAGAGCACTATGTCCGTGCCTGCTGCCCAGACATGTGCCCTGTCACATGGCTCATGGGTACACAAGACTTCTGAGACCTTCTGAGGGCTCCGAAGGCAAAGCTGACAGATATGAGGTGCAAGCCTAGCTTTGCCAGGTTAAACATGGCTATGAAAGGAGCATACCCAGTTCTACTGGCATCAGAACACAGTGCTGGTTGCCAAAGAGTCTATGAGAAAGAAATATTAAGTAATACCCCACCTCTGACATTGACATGAGTTTATTATTCCTCCATGCCAACACACCCTAATCTAAAGCTTATGCTGTTCCAATCCAGACCTGCCCTACAACAGCCAATTATGCTAAATGTGGTCAAAACCTTAAGGAGTCTTCAGTCCCAAAGACAATGATTCATTGGCCCATTAGCTTCTGTAGTATTTCCATATTTTGAGTTCATTTCTGAATTGTGTGTATTTCAGAGATTATTCCCATCACATTACAGGTATAAATAGAACTCTTGGCCCTTCACTATGTTGTCAATAGTTTTAGTTCCTCCCAAAATATATTGGTAAACACTGAATGAAAAAAACTCAAAGTAGAACAACCTCTTCAAATACACATGAAATATTTCCAAATGCATTATCTGCATGCTTTAAATAAGTGGAATTGTGATCATGTTGCCCAAAGGAGCCCTAATATATTATTGGGTTGTCGGAAAAGTCATGACATATTTTTTCTGTTTTTCATTGCAAAAATGCTTCATGACTTTTCCAGCAACCCAATGTATCACTAACTTTGTTCTAGAACTTCCAACCTGGTTCCCAAACCTTTGAGTCTGGCTGTGGGGGAAAGTTTAAAATTTTACAAAATACACACATCATCAAACATGGTCATTTGTCACTTTTGCATTGAAAGCGCCTTCCCAAATCTTTACTGAGAAAACTGTTGCCATTTATTTCTCAAGAATGAAAGTTCTAGTCTCACCTCCTAGTAAAACAAACAATTGTGGTGTTCTTCCTTGATTCACTCTCACACATGGTGCCATCATCAAAAAACTTAAGGTCCACAGGAAAATGAGCCTTATTCTCCTAATTTGCAATAAACATTTTATTCTATTTTCCCCTAAGGCAAAAACAAAACAAAGAAACAAACAACAATAACAAAAACCTTGTATCTAGATTGTATGACCTTGGACAAGCCTACCATAGGCCTCAGTATCCTTCAGTTTCCTGGGGTTAACAATTGTACCTGCCTCACAGGGTTATGGTCAAGAGTAAGTAAACAGTGCACACGAGGAGTGTAACAGAGTACCCAGCATACAATGTTCAACATAAGTAAGTTCAATAAATGTCAGCTTTTGTTATCATTCTCTGATGGGCATTTTAAGTGAAAAGACTTCTTTTGAATCCTCAGTGCATCTTCCAAGAACTGCCACTACCACTGTCTCTGTTAGCCCCACCTGCCCTGGACGGCCCCTCTGACTCAGGGGTCCTGAGTAGTCACTTCCTAGCTCCTTGCTAATTATCTGTGTCAGTTAGCTGGAGCTGTAAAGGGGGGATCCAATGACCAGGGCTTTGTCTTTTAAGATCTCAATAGAAATGAATTAATAATATGATCCATCAGATCACCAATATCCTGAGAGTGAAGATGGAAGCCACTGCAGATGAGGACAGCTTTATGGGTGAACGACTTGTGTAGCTTGCAGGACCCCTCATTCAAAGGGCCCCATGCTTAGTTTAATGCTCTGCCATTGTTCCCATCCTGAAATTCACAATAAAGTTTGTATAAGGAACCCCACATTTTCACTTTGCACTAGGCCCCACAAATTATGTAGCTGGTTGTTGTAGATGGAGCGTTTTGCTCAGAGAGTGATATGAATTGTTGTATGTTCTAAAAGGATTGCTCTAGTGTCTGTCTTAACAACAGGCTATAGAAAAGGTAAGGGTAGAAGCAAGAAAAACAGCATCCTAGGGGAGGGATGATAGTGGCAAATGACACCAAGGATAGGGGCCATTTAGATGCCACCTGCCTACAGCTGGAGCATGGGTGCCTGACAACATGCCGGCCTACAGCAGTGTCCTAGCCAGCCTGCCCCCACTGCCCACCACTGGTTCTGGCCCCGTGGCCATGCTGGTTGTCTGTTAATCTGAGAATCCTATGTCTTTACAATGCATTTTCTTTTTTTTTTTTTAAAGAGCAAGTATTGGTTTCACTTCTTGTCTACCCTTTTCCTAAGGGAATGCGGGGACTCAATGGTTCCACCAAAACTGTACACAGTAGCAAAAGGGAATTTTCCAAAAGGAAACTGGAGTGCTGTTACAAAATTTAGATCCCCTACAATGGAGAAAATGAGCTGCTGAAAACAGGGAGGAAAGAAGGGCCCTAACGAGGTCGGGCATCTTCTGAGTTAGGTCATTGTAGTCAAGGTTTACTATATATTCTCTCATTGATTCCAACGAAGTGATAGGTGTAAACAACCCCTCCCACCCCACCCCACCCCCGAAATTCTGTATGGGTTTGGCAGGATAAGATCTAATACTAAAGTTTATGCATCTAAATGCATCTAAAATACCTTTAAGACATGCAAAATACAGTAATACCTTGGTTTGCGAGCATAATTCATTCTGGAAACAAACTACTCATATTGCAAGACATCGCTTGTTTACCATGTTAAAATGTATTAGAAATGTTTGCCCATCTTGCAGAACACTCACAAACCATGTTACTCACAATCCAAGGTTTTATTGTACTTTGGTTTTGCTCAACTCTCTGTAAGAAAAAGGAAAGATCAGCTGTTTTGACTTTTTATTATTTTAGACTTTCATCTAAATTTTTACAATTATTTCTATGTTTAAGATGGAAAGTGAAAAAATATCATCACTATTTACTTTTCAGGTAATCAAATAGAAAAGTCATCAGGCCATGTGACATGATACAACCATGAGTAAATTCAACATCAGTAAGTTAAAGTTTATACTTCCTAATCTAAAATTCTTAAAAAATAATTTCTTCTTTTCAACATGCTCAAAAAACTTCTCTGAAATGACAAAGCACGGATGATACCAATTCCCAACATGAAGGGCTTATGTCAGCTACTCACCTTTTTCTGAAGAACGTTGATTTTTCGTTCCTTCACTTCTAACATATCCTTCATGTCACGAATCTCTCCAGCCAGTGTCCCCTTCTCTTCTGTGAGGTCCTGCAGCTGTTTTGTTTTTTTATTGAGAAAAGATTCTTTCTCTTCTAGTCGTAATCTCAGCGCATCTACCTGAAATCAGGAAACAGGAAGAAGGCAGTGATTTGAAACAGGTCATCAGTAACAGCAGTATGCTGTCTGAGCACAGCATGACCAAACCACTGCTCATGGGCAAGTCGACTCCATGCATTTTAAGTCTGTACCTACTGCAAAGTCCTGTTGCATGTGTATCTGAACAGCAATACATTTTTTACTATAGATTTATATGAGATAAGATGCTATGAAATAGTAGTGTGTCTCCATGTTGTGAAAGCAGATGCTGGGAGACAAAGCACACTGATCCCCTGTGCCTGTGAGACTGTTTTCCAAATACTAAAAGGGGGAAAAAAAGACGAAGCATAAAAAAAATAAAAAATAAAAAAATCCTAAAAATCCTATTTCTACCTTAGCTCAAAAGTAATTATTACAATTCCTGCTTTTTCAAATGTCAAGAATAAAATGAGGAAACATAAGCTTTATTTTTTTTAATTTAACATTCCAAAGACCACATGTAAAAAAAATTTACATGGGTAATGTGGGGTACTGGGGTGATGGAAGGCTGTGTTCCGCACCCTCCAGACCAGGGATTTGATGGATAGTAGCTACATCGACAACCAGGGAGTAGTGACACAAGCAAGCTATTTAGAGATAGCAAAAACAAAAACAAAAACAAAACACCAGGCAAAAAGAGTTAAAATGGGTTGTCTTGGGGAAGAAGAAATAAGACAGGGGTATGTAGGGGCTGCTGCATCTCACAGCAAATTTTGCTCATTATAGCAACAGCAGGTAAAATTTGGATGAAAAGGGGGGAATAAAAGACTAAAGTTTTTAAAAAAAGGATGCAGGGATACATTAATAAGCCAAAATAAATAGATATATAAGTGTTGTGAGAACACAGAGTCCAAAAGCTGAATATGAAACAATGAAAAGACGACATTAAGTTTCAGGCTGGGCTCTGCTTCCATCCAGATGCGAGAATCAGGGAAAGTGACTAACTGCCCCTACCCAGCCTTCCAGCCTCATCTCTCCACTCAGAAATCCAACAGGATGGAACAGATCATCTCTAAGTTCCTGACATTTTATGATTTTAAAGGCAGGAATCAGTCTTAATAGAATACATCATGGAAGAATAACGATATTAGAGATAAAAAAAAAGTTATTGGGGTAGAATCTCCTTTTCTTACCCCTTTCCAAGAAAAAGGTATCCAAGTTGTGTTTCTAAAGGTCAAAGGTGATGGGCAGGCGGGTGAGTAGAGTCTTTCTAGTTTCAGTCCCAGAGAGGAGCATGAAGCTGGAAGGTCCCATCAAGGGAAAGGATGACAGCAGGTACGCTAAGCCCACATGGCAGAATGACCCTGACTGCATTCTGGGAGAAAATGGACATTTGTGACTGCAGAGGGTGAGAAGTACAGATTCATCAAACATCCAATGCCTAAGCCTCTTCTCACACAATGGTCATAAAGATCTAGGGGCCAGGAAGGTGAATGGGGGTCTTCCCTTCACTAAATGAACAGTCATGGTGGTTGCACTAAAGTTTAAGCATCCCAGATTCTGAAGTGGTCTTTTTTTTATTTTACAGATTTTTATTGGGGAATTGGGGGATGGGAACAGCGCTAGGGAATTAGGGGAAGGGGAATAGACAAGTTGCTGCCCTTTTGTTCTTCAGTCTAGTTGTGGAGGACGTTGCTTCACTGGACCAAGTTGGCACCACAATTGTGTTTTCTGGCAAGGCAGATCAGTCGCAGGCTTCTGGACGGCCGCTCACAGCGGCTGCTGGCTACACACGGTAGCCCATGGCAACTCACTGCAGCAGGGGCTGCAGCCTACGCTGTCGCCCAGCTCCAAATTGAGCTGTTGTTCAGCATCTTAGCTGTAGAGGGCAGTGTCACTGGCCCTCATATGTGGGATCCGAACCAGGGCCCTCTGGCATCCCAAGCCAGCTCTTAACCAACGCACTACTCAGCCAGCCCTGAAGTGGTCTATCTTTGTTTAACATTATCTTCACCTACCAATCTAGAATAGCACTGATACTCGACTTTGGGTTTTCATCATAACGGGTGAAAAAATAGGATGTTTAGTTTATACATAAAGAATGGCATTTGGTGGGTTCCTTGGAAATTGGCAGGACATGCTGGGCACTCCAGATTACAGCTTGGTTATAAGGAGTTACATTCATTTGTAAAGATTTGCACTCAGGCTGACCAGGACTCAGTGTGACTCTGAAAAGAAACTGGTCCCATTAGTCCTGCATTCTAGATATGAAAGATTGATGGTTTATATCTGGACTAAAGGAAATGCCCAATATCCAAAACTGTGGTATAAATAAATTACAATACAGGAGGTAGTAAGTGGTGCTGAAAAGAGTTTAGAAAAAAAGTCTCTGTATTGATGAGTAATACACTAAACATTTGCAGCACCTTCTCACCATGCATGATCTATCAGTGCCCTGCTGCATCTTCCTGAGCTCAGAAGAAATAAAAAGCAACCCTAGCTTTAAGAATATTTCTCCAGGAACAAAACAGAGAGCAAGGATGGTTGTGATCAACACACTACTCATAACACCCAAACGCTACATGGCAGGAGGGATTCTGTGCCAGCTGAGGTCTTCTGCTTGGGAGTTTATTTTCCATGCATCCAAAAGCATGTACTTAGCTTCAAAGGAATTTGAATCGTGCCCTTCAATCACCTTCACTCTATCTTCACAGCTTTGCAGTCTCCTACAATCAAGAAACGAAGCTTAAGGGCCTTTTTTTTTTTTTCCTTAAAGACAAAACGTTGACCTGAACTGTATCCAATTCTCAACCAACATTAGCCCAGTTTGCAGCAAGCAAGTATGACATCATTTCTAAAGTCAAATTTTAACTTCCAGATGGTGCAAAACCACAAGCAGGCGCCCAGAAGTTTAAATACAGGGATGATCAGGCAAGAAAGAATATAGTCTATTAAAAATTAGAATATGTAGTTTTAAACTGGGTGTCAATGAGTAGGATTAAAGTTCCCCTCACTAACATTTGGACTTCACTCCACAGTGTACATGATTTTGAAAAGAATCAGAAAAGCCTTGAAGTTTAGATTATATTCCAACATCAGGTAGAGACATAAAAGTTAAAATGTTTGGGAATATGAAATACTTTTCTTTGCCTCTTCACTCAACACCAAATAATTTTAAGGGTCCTTGACTCTCTCTCTTAAACTTTGGCAGTTGACTCAATAATAAAACTTGGCAAAGCAAAAAGCACCATCATTTCCCAGAAAAACAAAAGAAAATTAGAACTGTATGATATAGTCAGAGCACAAAGACCCATAGGTTGAATTCCCAATTTTTACATATGACTTAACCACATGGGAACTAGTCACTTAATGTTAAAACTAGGACAATCTTTTCATTTTATGAGAATTATTCATTTATTTCTGATCCAATTGTGTATTTGTGTGCGTGTGTGAGTGTGTGTGTGTGTGTGTGTGTGTGTGTGTGTGTGTTTAAGAGCATATATGAAAATTTAACCTTTTATCTGGCAGTATAAAACATGAAACATTTGTTATCACTTCAGTTCCAGGTAATAACTTGAAAGCAAAGGACCATGGCAATGAAATTGGCAAAAATTGCCAAAATCAGAGTTAAACATTATTAATCTTCATGTCAGCACCCAGGAATTATAACCAGTTCCAATGGTGAGGTATGTTTGTAGAAGTTCTATACATAAGCCTCCCGACCTTTCTGCCATATTTTACATGGGCCTTCAGAAACAGTTTCAATGTTGTGACAGAACACTAAGTGCTACTTGATGTGCCATAAATAATTTTTTAAAATCAAACGGTTCATTTCAATTTTAAAATGACTACAGCAGCACTTGAGGGGGAAAAAAAAAAAGAAAAACCACTTGAGAGAGAAAAAGGGGCCACTTGAAATTTTTCACAGATTAAATACTACTTACTTGACAACGCTTCAGGAATTGAATAAACATGCTATCACAAAGAACAACTTTCAAAGAAAATGAAACTGGAACGTTCACAAAAGATCCCAATATAGTTTTATTTCACATTCAAAGTTTTGTTTGTTTGTTTTTCCTAATAGTAGACTTGGGTTAAGGGCATATTTGAATTTGATTCAACTTGCAATCATTCAAATGGAAAGACAGTTTCAAAGTTGGAAGTATGCATAATATATACAGCTTCCGAAGACACAAACACTGGAAATAACCTAAAATCAAAAACTTGCTGTGGTAGTAACCACTGCTTCTCACTCACATCCAATTTTCCCTTCCTTCTTGAACACAGGGAAGACCTCCCTTCCCAGCCGCCTTTCCAGAAGATGGGGCTGTTTTCTTTATTCGTGAAATGTAAGCAAAAGTGACACACATCCATCACTTCCTGTCCATATCATACAGACACAGACACAGACACACAGACACACAGACACACAGACACACACACACACACACACACACACACACACACACACACACCATATACACTCTTCTGCTTCCTCGGAGTTCTTGGAGGCTACACTTCCCAAATGATGGAGCTACAAGATTGCGGAACCTCCATAAAAAAACCTCAAGGGACCACAAGAAGGAGGACACACACCAACCCTCAACCCTCAACTTGGATTGGACTTATAGTATGATGTGTTAAACTACTCAGAAATTATTACAATAATTTCCTCTGTTTTTACTAAGAAGTGGGCACCTTAAAACTAGTAAGTTTTGTTTGTCTTAGAGATAACCCTAAAAGAAATAGGGCCATTTTATCTCCCTCTACTCCTTCTATGTGTAAAATCTCAAAATCTATTTTCCCCTATCCTTTCATCCCAAATCCCAAGAAGGGGGGAAATGGTAGAGAGTCAAGGTCAGAGCTAAAATGAAGTGGCAACAGAACCCTGGGGAACAGATACAGAAGTTAAAGATCAAGACTATGGGGAAAAGACGGATTGAAGAGGAAGGATCTCATTGGCTTGAACTTCAGTTTGTATAGAGATCAGTGGCTCAAGTGGACAACTCTGTTTTGCCAAAGTCACTGCATTACAAATATAT